TTTCTGTCCGGAAGTGAGATGAGAAGGCAGGAGCCGGCTGAATGGACATGGGAGATCAGGCGTGGAGAGGAGGAGTGTGCTGTCACAGTACAGGGAGAGCAATTAGGGTCACATAACAATGTATGTATAAATTTTTTTTGAGAGACTAACTTGAATTGTGAACTTTCGCTTAAACTACAACAATTAAAAAAATGGAGTGACAGACAATAGAAAGTCCTGTTTCTTTTCGTGTGACTAGTATGTATCTTCCAAGTCACATACATTGGTGTATTAGATTAAGGGACCTGACCAAACGGAATACAAATGGCCAGGTAAAACACATGAGTTTTTTCTCTCTGTACCCTTTACTTTAAAATGAGGTATCACTACTACTTGTAAGGTTTGTATGCCTCATGAGTTTGTTCACAATCTCTGTATTTCCCTCTTGCTTTCTTTCCTCCCTTGAAAAATCATATACAGAGCATTTCCTATGTGGCTAACTCTGGGTTAAACCCTGCGGCTACAGATATCAAAGAGAAAGACGTATCTACAGATTTGGCTCTCATCAACTGCTCCTCACCTCCTACAACCACTGACTGACTACTTTGTCTACTCTGTGCCTAGCCCTGAAGATACAGCATTGATCAAGACTGAAAAGGGGTCCTGCCTTCATGGAATTTACAGTCTGTTTAACTCACCCTCCCTTTCTCCCTGCACTGGCTGGAAGGGAAAGTAAAATACTAAAATAAAAATAAAAAACCCGTTGCCGTCGAGTCGATTCTGATTCATAGCGACCCTGTAGGACAGAGTAGAACTGCCCCATAGAGGTTCCAAGGAGCGCCTGGTGGATTCCAACTGCCGACCTTTTGGTTAGCAGCCATAGCACTTAACCACTACGCCACCAGGGTTTCCAAATACATATATATATTTTTTTTTCCCAGTGGAAAAAAACATACCCATTTATTAGGTTGGGGTGTAGGGGTGAGAGAGAAGGAGCCCAAGTGGTGCTAGGGTTAAGCTCTCAGCTGCTAACTGAAAGGTTGGCAGTTGGAACCCACGTGGCACACAACAGGGGTGAGAGAAAAGGAGGAGTCAAAAAGAGATGCTAGGATCTGCCTTTAAGAAATGCGTGGGTAGTGGTCCCCCTTCTTTCCACAACAGTGGAAGAGGAGCCAGGACAAGCCCTACCTGGTGCCTGAGACTTGGTGGTGTGTGAGAAGGAGGGTTGTATGATCCCATGTGAGTCCTGATAGGAGAAGGTCCTCTTTCTTGGACAACTCTGGAAACCACGTAAGGCCAAATTTTCGAAGGATGAGAAAACAGCAGCGGGGCAGAGAGAATGATCCTTGGTACAAACAGTGTTTGAGATGTAGGATGGCTTTCTTTTAGAAGAGGGACAGTGGTGTGGCCTTTATGGGAAGGACACCCCCCTGGGGGCTCCAAGTTGACTTAAAAGCAGATGCACCTTCCTTCCTCCCCGCCCCCCACCCCCTGGCTTACTGAAAGAAGATGGGAGGGGCCACCCCCAGAACCTCCGGAGTGATCTGACCTTAAATCGCCTCTCTCCTCCCAGCCTGCTTTCCAGGCACCCTCCTCCACCCCCACCCCCTTTCCAATTAGCGTCTAGGAAGGCTGGTAGGCCAGACGAGGTAGGAAAATAGGAACTACTTAACAGGCGGCAGGTAACTCTAGCCAAGGGGCACACTGGGTTTCAGCCTCTGCTCCTCCAGCGCCGTTCTTCCCGACCTCCTGCTCCTGCCCCCACCCCCACCCGCCCCTTCTCCCCTTAATATCCAGCGCCATAAATGTG